TGATATGGTTCCTTGTCTACATCACAAAATAGAAGACCAGGAACCCACTACAAAATAAGTCTCTTGTATGACCTATAGCTGGGCCCCTGGGGAAATATTATACCTTCAAGTGTTGTGCATTAATTGCTGTTCAAGGTGGACTAGGACTAGCTTGAAAATGTTTTTTTTTTTAAGGATAGTGAAACTTTTAATTCATGAGGTTTTTCTCACTTATTAATTTAGTCTCTCAAATTTAATTTCTATCAATTGAGTCCCTTAAATTTATTTTGATTATTAATTTGATCCTTATTTTTAAATAAAAAGATTACATTGTTAAAGTTTGCTAATTTATATAATTGAATACTTATGGAAGCCATATAAATTAATGAAAATGAGTATAATTATTTTGGTAGGGAAAAAAGATTCTAAAATTTGTAAAAAAAGACAGAGAGAACAAATAAAACAAATTGTGAGGAATTATTTTGGTAAAAGTTAAATTCATTTGAGTGTTAATCTGTTCTCATTTAGCTACATATATATGTCAAATAATCAATCTCTTTTATACATTAGATTAGATTATTTTGAAAGTCAATTTGTGTTTTAAAATTTAAAGTGCTCACATGATAATTTTAGAAAACATAAGAGATCAAATTGATAAAAAAAAATTAAACTTAAAGGATCAAATCAATAACTGAAATAAATTTGAGGGATTAAAAGTTACATTATTTTTTTTTTAAAATAAGGTATGATCAAAGGAGATGTCAGATCCACTCTTTTGTCTTTCTCATTTTTATTACAGTATAATGTTCCTCCAATCATTGAAAAAGGATCTATCCATCACAAGGTTGACCTTGTGAAGTCCCATAATGTCACTCCCTCATTCGCACAATGTTATATTGTACCAAACCCATATATAATGGGTGAGTGAGTCTGCCACTCTATGTGAACTTTCATTTTCTTCCTCTTTTTTTCTTTTTTATATTGAATGGAGGCCTTTCATACATGCAAGGGTCGAGAGAAAAATCACACAGATCTTTAGAAGTAAGAAGTAATACTTAGATCATGATGAATTGTAAACAATCTAATATGACTTATGTTGAGCACTGGATGTTGATAGTGCAGAAGCCACTTATTATAATAGAATTTCAGATTTAAAAATAATACCAAAAAAAAGCCAATATATAATATAACTTACTTCTTTTAGCATAAGCTAACTTCGGTAATGCCAAATTTTATTGGGAGAATTATGTTAAAATCTTACACAAGAAAATTAATTGCTACAACACTGGCCTTAGTTCAATTGTTAATGAACTTTGTAATAATTAATGTTCTTGTGTGGAACTTATATGTAATTTTTTCAATTTTGTTTCATTGAGACTTAAAATTAAACTTTCATTTCTAAAATATTAAACTCAACCTATCATATCTTTAATAGGAGCATTGTTAGAGGAAGTATGGAGCTCTTGGACCTTCTGTGTGCTGCCAATCAAAGAAGGGAATGAAGAAAAGCTGAGATGGAAGTCCATGAAGCCAAGCAAGTGTGCACCTTGGAACTGCTCATGTGTTGAGTAAACTTTGATCAACCAGAACATTGTTTTCAGGGTTTTCAAACTTTTTGATGGTTTCGTTGGCAATTTGATTGTTTTTGTGTTGCATGATGTTGAAGAAAGCTTGGCTTGTTGTTATTAAGGGGCTTGGAAACCAAGTTGATGAAGATGACTACAATATTAATTAAGAAGAAAAGACTCATCTTTTTTATTGTTATTTGACTTTGATCCAATTTGACTAATCATTCCACAACTTAATTAGTTCTTTAACTTCGTCTACAATCCATGTTAAATTTTTCTTTATTAAGTATGCTTAAAGATAGTTTACTTCATCAAAATAACTTAAGCTAGTTGATTAGACACATTCCAAACTTCATATATTCATACTCTATATATTTTCTAATTTCTATACGTGAGACTTCTTTTATTTCTAATATTTTTCTACTATTTTTTTTTCAATTTCTTTTTCTTCTTGCCTAAGCTTGTACTTTATATATTCAATTTTTTTGTCTATTTTTTGTACAAAAAGTTGGACACGCATTAACAGTGTCACTCCTTTTTCACTTTAACTCACATCTAGAATGCCCAAACTCCAACAAATGTGCCAAAATTAAAGTGTCATGCCCCAAAAATAGAGGGTGACCGGCACAGGATGTGAACCACCACACATCCCTTAAGCCTTAAATTGGGTAGTCTTTCCATGACTAAAACATAATTATGCTTTAGTTTGAATTAGAACATGCATAAATATTTTTGGTATTAATAAAATATTTCAATATTTTTGTAGAAATTTTAGCAGAACCTCCTCTATAAATAGAATCTACCAAAAATTTTACAATACAATATCTCAATAAAAAATATCAAGTCAATCAGGAGCAGAATTCCTTCCAGCCAGCAGACAAATATATAACAATATAAACAACCTAGCCACAGGCTATGTGGAACACCTAACAACAGACAAATAAAATTTCATAATTAAAACTTTACATCAAGAGAAAGTTTAACCGTTGGCTCCTCCACGTCTAGGCAATCATAAACTCCTCAATGTTTAGTAGGTGTTTCAACGTTAGCTACACTATTTGAGACCAAAATTATTTCCAGTGAATAACGTCCGAAAAATAAATAATTAAACATGAATAAAAGGAAAGTTAAAAGAAATTATGTAAATTAAAAAAACACAACTATCTCCATGAAGATTTAAATAAATTCAAAATAAAAGGATTCTATATAACTTTAAATGAAATCTTAAGCCATTAAATTGTCATATCAAATATTGTTATCCCTTGATTTCAAGGAAGAAAATAAATGAAATGAGTAACTATAAATAGATTACTAATTAAAAATCAATAGGATATGAAATCATTAAATAATCAAATTTATTTTTTATGGAGACTTGTCAGAACAATTAACAAATGTGGACACACAGTCCACGAGAGCAAGTAACCAGACGTGGCCAAAATCACAAAACAGACGTGGACACACAGTTCATGAGGGCAAGTAACCAAACATGGCCAAAGCCACAAAACAGACATAGGTACAAGACCCACGAATAACAGACGTAAGAACAGAGCTCATGAAAATCAAACTAGCTAGTTATTGACCATAGCGCGCTAAGAGCTAACGAAACTGCCATTAGCAACTAGTGTTCTATATGCAGTCCTATTTTAAATTCACTTTCAGACATACGAGAAAATCATCACTTCAAAGATATAATTTCTCCTTTCAATATCAAACTCGCATGAAACATACACAAACATTAAATTTTTCCAAATATGAAAATTCATAACCAATATCTTATAAACTATTTATCAAATTTCATATTTGGCTTTATCAAATTAAGGATTAATAGAATTTGTAAAAGCATTTTTCGTCAATCTAAAAAGTATAAATCATGATTTCAAGAAATAGATAATTTAATTAACAAGAATAGCTAAAGCAAAAAAAAAATGTATACATATCTGTAGATTGTTAAAAACAATATTTTGACAAAGAAAATTTTCTAACATATAAAATGATTGGAACGTTATCCACTTACTTGAAGTATTCTCAAAATTCAAAGTTTTGCTTCTTATCACTTCAATCGAGTTTTTCTTCCTCCAAACATCCTATAGAATCATAATAAAGTTTTTTTATATTAAATACTCAACTAATATAATAGTTCCTTTTCAATCTTACCACCACCAATGTTAGATTATAATACATTTGAATCTTCAAAAATTCGAGGCTTTACATCACTTAAAAAAATTCTCATTTACATTTTTTGTCAAGGCACCAAATACACAAACACACACACACACACTCTTCTAACCCTCTCATAAAAACTCTAGTATTCAAATATTTCATCAATGAACTATCCACCTCCAATGATTCAATTAATCACATGTTATTGATTTCATAGGCAAATCTCCTTAGCAACTTTTAAGTTAAATTTCATAGATTAATAACAGTTAAGTTATCTATACTTTTCACAAGAATTAATAAAATTTTAAAAATATTCAAAATCAAGTTAAATTTCTTCTAACAAGCATTTTAACAAACATCTTATAAGTAGTAATCTCCAAGTTTCATGTCTAAGTCCTTCTATCCTAATCTAATCCTAACCAATTCTTCAACCTCAACTAGTCCAAATAAAATTCAATTTAGCTCAAAATTCTAACCCATATATATTATTATCAAACTTTAAAATAATTTTATAGCTTAATCTCCATTTCCTCCTCCCTACCCAGCTCAGCAACAGCAGATTTCCAAAAGAAAAACAAAATGCAATTTCAATAATGTTATATCACACCTCACACGCACTGGTTAATCTAGAGAAAGAAGAAGAAAAAATCAAGGCTGCTCAATTAATATGAACCGGCGATACATGAAGAAAGAGAAGGAAACAGAACCTTAACTGAATAGGGGAGGAAAAGGAAGAAATGAAATTAGCAACACCAGACCAAGCAGGAAAAAATTTGCGACCAGCACCTCCAACCCCAATGACTTGATTCCTCACAAACACCAACTACACGGACGTGAATGGTGAGAACAGAGCATAACGAGGAAAACAAATAAGGATGAGGAGGATGACGGAGAGCTGAGCGTTGCAAGATAGTGATGAACACCCACAGTTGCCGGCGACACCAAGGACGATGGAGGGAAGTGGAGATTGAGTGATGAAGGTGAGGGTTTTGCCTCTCTTTGTCTCTCTGGCTGCTGAACACGAAAGTGAGGGAAAACCAAGGTACTGAAAACCGGCCCGGCCATTGAACCGGTCAAGGTTGGGGGTCAGGGGTCAGGGGTTCAACCGCGGGTCAACCCGGATTCAAACCGGACATAATAAAATAATATGATTTAAATAAAAATAAATTCTCTAAGACTTAATATCTTATATAATATCACATACAAGTCCAAGATAATCATCAAAACATCATTAAAAACACAACATTTAAAATATTCATCCTTACAATCCTTTAATCATCAAAAAATCTAAAGCTAATAATAATCAACACCAAAATCCTCATTAATTTCATTCAAATCTCCGGGAGTAAGGATTGAAACATTAGGAGATGATTGAGAGAAACCAGAACCACTTCCAACATCATCATTCAAATGTGGATGCTCTGAAATATTCATATCTTCTTCCCCTATTGATGACAAAAATTAACATTAATCATTGTGTAAAAAATAATTATATATTATGCAATATAGACATGTTAGTAAGTATGAACCTTCATTATTTCTCTCAGAAGCTGATGAAGCTACAACATTCTCATTATGCATAGCACTTTCCAAATTAGTGACATCATCAGCATCAAACTCAGGAGCTGGCTCTTGTTCCTCTTCAGCAATCCAAAAGTCCAATTTGTCAATAGATTCATAATCAATTGGATCAAAACTTGTCTTTTTCTTCAATTGGCTCCTTTAATGAGATCAAAACAATCAAATATAAGAATATATCTACCATGAGATAGTAATAAATTTTTATTTATTAAAAACATTCATAACTTTTATTTTTATTACCTATTCTTCAATCGTAGATTGTAGTTTGTAAAGACTAAATCATTTAGTCTTTGATGTTCCAATCTATTTCTTCTTTTGGTATGGATGCGTTCAAACAAGCTCCAATTTCTCTCACAACCAGAAGAGGAAGAAGTTTGGCTAAGAATACGCATTGCAAGATTTTGCAACTCTGGAACAGAACTTCCATAAAACGACCACCATTCATCTGCAAATAAAAGAGAATTAGTTATATGTTATATGATAAATAAAATTACCATGATCATGTTAAATATTAACACTTACAAGGGTCTAGCTTCTGTGCTGCTCTATGACATGAAGCTTTATCAAAAGATTCTTTACGGTCACGATACAAGCTCAACTGCTTCATCATCACAATATAATCAACATCTTCATTTTCAGTTGACTCAAACACTGAAAGCATAGCATCCATTAACCTTCTTTTATGAACAAAGTCATCATCATACAAGAAGGCAGGGTTCAACAAATATGCTGCTGCATGAAGATTGGTCTTCAAGTGCTTATCCCATCGGGCTTGGATTATATCTGTGTAAGGCTTGTATTGGTCTTTCTTATTGGTGAAGACTGCCTTAATTGCTTTTTTTGCCCTTTGCATGCCTTCATAAACATAAGGCAAAGAAGGCTTCTCATCTGAATCAACAATTCTCAACAACTTTATAAGAGGAGACACAATCTTCACAACTTCAAGACATTCATTCCAAAACCGATTATCTAATATGATGGCACTAACAATTATTCCAGCTTCGGTCCTTGATAATTTGTGATCCACAAAATGCTTATCAGTGATTAAAGCTTGTAAGTCATGCTTGTGCATATATATGCTATGCAATGTGATAAATGTTGTAGCAAACCTTGTCGCACCAGGACGCACAATTTCTTTCCAACCCTTTCTTTTCCTGAGCCATGACAGAAAGACCATATGATTATAAACAAACACAGTGATCTTTGATGCCTTTGTTGCAAGTTGTGACACATGAGACATACTTGCAATATCTTTCAAAGTAAGATTCAAGCAATGAGCAGCACAAGGTGACCAATAAATACTTTTATATTTCTCTTTAATCAACTTGCCACATGCTACATAATTAGCAGCATTATCAGTCACCACATGTACAATATTTTTGGGACCAACCCACTCAATCACTTCAGAAAACAATGAGAATAAAGTCTTGGCATCTTTCACTAAATCAGAAGCATCAACAGATTTTACAAATACTATGCCATGTGTAAAATAGACAAGAAAATTTATCAAAGTTCGTTGCCTCACATCTGTCCAACCATCAGCCATGAGTGTACATCCATAAGTTTTCCATTTAGATCGATGACTCTCAATAAGTAGCTGACATTCTTTTTTCCAATCATTCAACAAGTTAACTCTAAATTCATAAGCAGTAGGACCCTTAAACCCCGGCCCAATTGAAGCAATAGCATCCATAGCTTTTTGAAAGAATGGGCAATCTAATGCATTAAATGGAATACAATTAATGATCGCCCATTCAGCAATGGCCATTTTTGCACTGTGTTGTGCTTCTTTAGTTGCAAATGCACTCTTAATGCCTGGTTGGGAACCTGGAGTTGTCCTAGAGGCAAAATAATTTTCAACTAGCATAGTAGGAGGTTTTTTTTTACTAGCATTACTCTCAGGGATTGACTTAGATGGAGCAGGTGTATTGGGTTCATTAGCATTAGACACATGTTCCTCCATGTCTGCTTGTACATCGACAAGCTTTCTCTTTTTCCCACTTTTTAATGATTCTTGCATCTGATAACGAACATCAAAAGGAACTTTACTACAGGAAACTACATTTCCACTTATACCAGCAAGATGATGCTTCAATCTATTTATTCCACCTCCTTTATAACTCAATGCACAATAAAGACATGTATACACATTTTTGTTGCCCTCTTTTCTTAAAGCAACATGTGCCCATGCAGGATCTTTTTTCCCGCGAACTGATGGGGTTCCAGATGTGGAGTCATTATGGCTAGCAAGGGTGGGATTGTTGGAATTGGGAGTAGGATTGTTGGAATTCGGGGTAGGATTCTCAGTTCCATCACTACTAGAATTACTTCCAATATCCATATTATAATTGTAATCTGCAAGCTATGATAATTTCAACATAAATAAATATCTAATGCAAAAAAAAACTAGAGCAGCCGGAGCAATCATAGTAGCCAAAAATCCAGAATACAGTACACAAATAAGAGCAACATAAAGCTCGAATTAATTTTCAACAACCAGAGCAAATCAGCATACATACAAAAACGTTTATTAACTGACTACTCTCTCTGAAGGCACAACTCTAAAAAAAAAAAGCAAAATCAGTTTAGTGATCATGTACTCATTGAAGGGATCAACTTGGCCAGCCGTTCGAGGCTTAAAACGAGTTTCTTTTCTAGCCTTTTTCCTTCCATTTGTAACATGATTGCCATATTCTACACTATGCTCAACGGTGCACAAAATGGCAATTTTAAAGGATACATCTTATTGACCATGGACCAAAATAAAGAGAATGGAAGGGGGAAGGGCTATACATAGAATATCTGACCAACATTTAGAAGACTCTCATGAGGGACATTGAAGATGACACTATGCTCCCTGCATATCTTCCTAAGGAATGCATATATGTAATCAACAGCTATTTTGTATATATGTAATCACGTTTATTTTATATGTATGTATGCTAAATCACGTTTATATATTTTAAGCAGTTGCAATTATGTAAACGTTAAAATGACAAAGAAAACAAAGACCCATATAAGGGAAAATTTAGTTGAACTTGAAATTTAAAAGAGCTAAGAAAAAATCGTTCAACACAAATCCGTGTTATGCAGAATAAATTCAAACAACAAACATCAGAATTTGGTGATTGCATCCAAAATCCGTAGCTCGTTTATTGAGAAAACCAGCAAATTGCAAGAGATTTTGTTGCATAAAAATGTTATAATTACCTGAGTATTAGCAAAGATGGCTTCTCACAGACCGAAGGAGGCGGATCCAAACACAAACTGCGATGCCATATCAGTGGATGAAGCGAAAATCAGATAGAGACAGAACCAAGCAAAGAAGCTGATGAACATCCTGGGTATTCTTGCGAAAGGTTAGGGCTGATTTAGGTCACTCGAGGGTTTAGCATCTAGATTCAGCCAGAGATGAGACGAGACGACGGCAAACCGGCGAACTTCGGACTGAGATAACGTGAAATGCGTTCGACCTTCGAATTCGGGATTCCTATCAGCTATAGCTTCGCTGCGAGATTGAGACGCAGAGATACTGACTACTGAGGCAGTGAGGCACAGAGCCACAGACTTAGGGCGTCTGATTTCTTTTTTTAATTTTTTTTAATAGGATGACCCCCAAAACGACGTCGTTTTGGGGGTTAATTTCTTTAAAAAATAATAACCGGCCAACCCGCCCGACCCGGGGGGTCGGGCGGTTTTACCCGGGTTAATACCGGGTCACCCGGGTTAACCCGGGTCACATGAGGCCACTTTGGCCATATGAACCAGACCGGACTGGTCTCCGGGTCACCGGGTCACCGGTCGGACCGGCCGGTCCGGTCCGGTTTTCATAGACTATTTAGAAAACTGAATATTTGGACCCTTCTGCTGAGCCAAAGTAACTTTATCAGATGAAAGAGAGAGAAAGAAGGAAAGAAAAATCTGGTGGAGGCAAGGGTAATTTAGTAATTTCATAGAACTTTTAAAAAAATGAACTCTCACTTCAGCTAGATTCGAACTTAGGACCTAGAGAATGGGATATACGCGCACTTCCACTACATCAACTTCCCTTCTCGTCATAACGGTCCCAAAAACTGATAAAATTGCAATTAAAATGTATTATTACATATTTTAATTTTATTTAAAATTCTTGGATTATTACAAAAAGCCTAAATCAACCCTTTGATCACACTCAATGGACCATTTAGAATTCATGCAACACACCATAATCAACCAAATACACATACATCACAAATTCAACCATCAACTCCCCAATTCTCTAAAAGATAAGGGGGAGGTATATTTACATTAAATAGTTAATATTCATCCAAAATAACCAAAATGCATTTTACTCTACTTGCATTAGTATTTTGATCCTATATAAATTTTACAAGCACATGACAACAACTCAAGGCATGAAATACATATAATATTTTCATTTATAATATAAGTAATTCAAAATAATGGTACAAGTCCTAGTTGGCAAATTAACCATCAAAAGACACATAAATAAAAATAAGAGGCCTACAAATAGGATTTACTCAAAATCCTATGCCTCTGGTCATTCTCCCCAATTCTGATCTGATGAGCTAGGCCCTGAAAATATTGAAGAATGAGGGATAAGTACAACCACTCAGTAACCAAGGTCAGCCTAGCCTATACAGTTGCATATCAATTAAAAATGGATGCAAATGCAAATAAACTCAATTATCATACACAAATAGCAATTATAGCCTCGACCACAACAATAAAAATCATATGACCGGGTATGCAACTCATATCATTTGATTTATCACAAACATATACACCTTGAGGTCGCAAAAATAACAATCATGCACCCTTAAAACACGCCAAACCATAATAATAACAACCATATGGCCAGAACTAAATGCAAGATCAATGTCAACCTTATACCCTCATGTTACCTCTGACATAAAACCAGTGGTTATTAAGTGGCTATGTCCACAACTCAGACTAACCTAACCTTCCACTTGTGAGGAGCTACCTGGCTAGGGTTAACTCACTCACTTGTGTACTATAGTTTTCCCTAATACTAACAATCATAAGGTGTCATGCCCTTAATCAAGCCTCCTCATGATGAGCTAGGCCTTGAAAATATTGAAGAATGAGGGATGAGTACAACTACTTAGTAGCTAGGGTCAGCCTAGCCTATACAGTTGTATATCAATTAAAAATGGATGCAAATGCAAATAAACTCAATTATCATACACAAATAGCAATTATAGCCTCGACCACAACAAGAAAAATCATATGACCGAGCATGCAACTCATATCATTTGATTTATCACAAACATATACACTTTGAGGTCGCAAAAATAACAATCATGCACCTCTAAAACATGCCAGACCACAATAATAACAACCATATGGCTAGAACTAAATGCAAGATTAATGCCGACCTTTTACCCTCATGTTACCTCTGACATAAAACCTGTGGTTATTAAGTGGCTACGTCCACAACTCAGACTAACCTAACCTTCCACTTGTGTGGAGCTACCTGGCTAGGGTTAACTCACTCACTTGTGTACTATAGTTTTCCCTAATACTAAAAATCATAAGGTGTCATGCCCTTAATCAAGCCTCCTCATGAAGTAGTGGAGACTAGTTAGGTTTGAGTCCCTCAAAAAATAAGTAAAACAATCCCAAATCAACCATAGAACAATGGCTATCTCCCAATTCCAATGGTTGATGCCAGGGCAAGTTTTCAATTCCAACGATAAGCTGTCAGTACCATGTGGATTTACTAATCTACTCCTCTCCCTAAGCAAACTCCTGCCAATAATCATGCTATGCACATATTGACACTTAATATGTCATTTTAACACAATTCATAACCTCATATCATATTCACATCATTTTCTCACTCTAACAAACTCCACATGTTAAATATCACATAATGCTCATTTTCATAATATCATGTTTACAAAACATCATCATGGGACATAAGAATAATCATATATTATTCCAGACAACTCAACATAATGTCACAAACACAATCATCACATTGCCAAAAATTTGCATCAGAGTTTTCAAACACCCAATAAGTTCTAAACAATCTCATTTAACAATTAATTAATTAACATACAACTATATAAACTAGATTTTCCTCGATTACGTCAAACCTTTAAGAGGTCAAAGGTTTATCCTTCAAAATACCAACTTCTAAAGCTTTTTATCAAGTTTGAATGGTGCCAATTGGGTTAATCAACAATAATATCACAAGGATAACATCATTACCCCATTTTTGGGCAAATTTTCCACATTATAACTCCACATACTCCTTTTCATCAAAGTCATAAACTAAATCTCAATCATATCCAATAGGTTTATTAAGTCTCAACAACTCACATTGTCATCAATGAACTATTAACCCACCATTAATGGCCATAAAACACTCCCAACAACTTTATTTATTGTCATTTTTTGGTATTAATGGTCCCCAACCACTAACAGCTCATAAAATTATTAATATAGGGTTTAAACACTCTAAACTACTCTTATTATATCCATTTTAGTCAATGGGTTCAGACCCATAGCTCATATGGACCGAAAATCACTCTCCCAACTCAAACCTTAACTTTAACCTTCATAAAAATGGAAGGAAAGGGAAAAGGAAGACATAATGTACTTATCTTATGAGTGAGGAAGCTTAAACATATCTTTAATAGTTCCTAAATTCATACCCTAGCAGAGTAAATCCTATGCCTTTTGTTTTCTCCTTTTCCTCTTCTCTGGTTTTAGTCTATTTCCTAATCAGTATATTAAAAAAGTTGGCCATACGCCGCGGTACATGGCATAGAGAGGTCCACCCTTCGTTGGATGCCTCTATGTGCCACAGTGAATGTTCCTTATGCCATGGCATGTGGTACAGAAGTTCCTTCTTCAATTCTTTCTCCCTTTTTAACACCTAGATGGCCCGACTTTACTTTGAACTCGTATTTAAGGCTGAAATCATAATCAATTACACAAATTAGACCTCTCTAGCCACACACCACATTAATTCACTTAATTACCCTCATTAAGCTTAGTTAATCAAGTTTAAATTTTTAGGATATTACAGAGTAAGCATACTCTTATGAGATCGTGGCAAAATCTCTAGAGCATTTATTAAAACCAAGCATGCACATGGCCGATAATGCATAAAACTATCGTTAACAATAGAGAATATGGGGGTATAACCTGATCAACATGACCTCTAGTATATAATTAAGATTTGTTGGTTTTTATTAGTCTAAGGCAGGTTCATAGAAACATGGTTTCATCATATTTGAAATGGTTATATTCCATACGATAAGCTTAGATAATCATGTTCCTTTGACACATGTGGGAGATTGTTATAAT